ATTTGTAACGAGACATATACCGTTAGATGTTTTTTTGGGCGCTGATCTCGAATCTGTTCTTCCAAATCTGCGAAACGATTCTCTGGAACGTAGTTATGAAGCGCGATAGTGCAGTGGCAGCGGCCCGGGCCGACGAGCAAGAGGTCGTGAGATCGACTTCTTGGCGAGTTCTCAGCTGCTTTTCTTGAAAACATTGTTCAAAGGACTCTTATGCATGCTAAATCATCAGCGACTGCCTATCCTATAAGTGGAAAGAGCTGGCAAAGAGCTTCGAACACTGTGCGCGTCATTTGCCGTGTCCTGTCGGTCGTGTGTGCCCACATTTTCGACTTTAGGTCAAAATTTTGGATTTGGACCAAAAGTTGTCGGAAGGGGTAGTTTGATGCGCTGAACACGAAAATCACATCTATTGGCAAGAAAGTGCATGACGCATGCGCTACGGGTGCCAGAGACGGTCACTTGCAAATGACGCGCACAGTGTTCGAAGCTCTTCGCCAGCTCTTTCCACTTGTATGATAGGCAATCGCTGATGAACTTAGCATGGATAAAGTTCCTTTAAACAATGTTTTCAAGAAAAGCAAAAGTGAGAACTCGCCAAGAAGTCGATCTCACGACCTCTTGCTCGTCGGCCCGGGCCGCTGCCACTGCACTATCTCGCTTCATAACTACGTTCAGAGAATCGTTTCGCAGATTTGGAGAGCAGATTCGAGATCAGCGTCCAAAAACACATCTAGTGGTGTATGTCTCGTTACAAATGGCCACTTCGACCTGGTATCCTTCCCTTGTAAGAAGAGTGTGGAAGATAGCTTAACGTGAGCAGCGACATAGTGAAGACCTTCCTCCGAATTTGGTTCCAGTTTCTGTCTCTTCTTATCACCTCATCACTTACTATTAATTCCTTTGTTGTGATCATATATTACCTTACAATCAGCACCTCTTCACATTGCTCCCTAGAACCCGATCTCTTTTCTCCCATCCTGTCACACTACACAGTACTCCTCTCTTCCTCCACATCATAGCTGGTTTTCTTACGTTATGGGCGATGTGAAGGCTGTTTCCAAGGTAATGCAACTCAGCACATGTAGATTTATGAGCACATACTTAAACTCAGGCCGTCGGGTATAAAAAAGCAACA